ATTTATAGGCACTATTGATCTTAAGGATAAGAAGAGAGAGTGGTCGAAAATAATGTTGTCTGACGGCAATTGTAGCTGTGTCTTTTCGGTCGAAATACGCAAAGCTCTCTCTCGTCGAAGGTAACCCAATTTGTGCACCATCATGTGTCCTCTCTGTCCTCTAATGCTGCTGTCCTAGTCGATGAGAAGAAGTTGGAGGTGTCGAACGAGCGAAGTCCTTCAATTCTGTTTCAAATCCGTGCAAGTTATTCCATAATGAGTATTGTTTTCTCCGTTAAATCACAAATGATAGGCAAATACTCGTTTTACTTGATAAATTCACCGATCTACTCATTACTTCTATACGTATGCAATCTTTCTGATTGCACTTTAAAGCAGTGCCGTTTTTCTCATTTCACTTCATCGATGTTTGTCGATCGATGCTATGTAACTCAAATCTACTAAACTTCCATATACATTTCCATGTTTCCTTTTTGAATTGTGGCTCAACGGTTCTTCTTTTCCTTCTTCTAGCCGATGTACAGACACAACGCACATTTTGAGAATGGTTGTCAAACGTCATAGACTGCTAATATGTTCATTCTATGTTGATAATAAATTCACCGTGAAATTGCTTTTCAAAGACACAAAGCTGTCTTTCACTTTGTACGGCCAGAAAGCCTTTTCTCTCCTACTTCTACTTTTTTCGTTTTTCCTCTTCACACGCTTACTTCTTACTAACCAGCTGCGATACAGTTTCCGAATGCTAACTTTTTGTGCATACGGCAAATTTGATTTGTCTCAGTGAAATTTGACTATTGCCCCTCACTAGCCAATCACTGTTACACAAGTTAGGCAATATGAATTGATTTCAACTCAGAGGTGATCGAATTTAACAGATTCGTTAAATTTTAAAGAAAACTATCTCGTTTCATGGCGAAATGTATTATTTAAGGCAAAAACTGCTAGAGTTGACGAATGTTTCAGAACAGGGCACAGGTATTGTCGTTCTTTCATGAAGAATCTTTGTTTGCTTTATTTTGCAGCTTACAAAGTGTATTTTTCACTTTGTCAATTGGCAGTAGTTTAACGACTAAAGAGGTTTAATAAGCAGGATTTCGTCCAGAATATAATTTTCATCGTTTATGATTACGTCTGTCGCTATTTCCTTGAATGTTCCAGTAATTTCAGTTTCAAACATATCTAGAAGAGAAATGTCTACATGTATATCTATATACAACATATGGGGCAGCATTTCCCTTAAATTATTCGGCTTCACATGTACTTGACTATTATAATTTTCGAAATATTATCCATCTTCTCTTATCAGAAAGCTCAACATCGTTACGATTGCCTTAACTCTTTCGCAACGAATCTCGTTTTTCAACAAACGACCATAATTTCTCAATGAATGATATATTTCAGAAGTTCAGAATTTCACAAATTTATAGAAGATACCTTGCTCCATTAGAGTTTTTTTTTTGAAAAAATCAAAAAGAAAATCAGAATTCCATCGCGGTAAAGATAGAGAACGGGAAGCGTAATGGTAGTAATCCTGTTCATTACATGGACAGCGGTACCTCCCCTGGCTCTGGTTCGATGCCGCACTAGGCTCACCTGGCCTCTAAACTCTCCGGAGTCAGGAAATTGGTATCAAATTTATCTGAGACAGACATGCTGTCTCTAATTCACGTGAGAGCGCCTCCGCACTGCTATCTCAGGACTAGCGAGGATCGAGCCGACCAGCATTCAACGACATTCGTGACGAATACAAAAATGAAAATCCTCAAGAAGCAAGCCGAAGCCACCTGCAAAAAGAGTTTGAAGGAATTCCTGGATGGTGCAAGCGATGAAGCGAATCGAATGCAGGAAATCTATAAACAAGGATTTCCAGGCTTTAGCAGTTCTTATTTACATTCATAAAATTAACTGTGAGCTGAAATATGTTGATTTAGAGTTGAAAGCGACCGTTGTTTTTGTATCGTATGAGTCCTATAGAGGTCATGTCCTCAAGGTGCTCGGTTAAATTCCGCGTTATGTTGGACAATGCACTTAGCTGCACTGTGTTTCGGATTTCCTACCCTTTATGGATTCCAGACACCATTAATTGCCACAGTTTTAGTAACACTATTCATCGTGTAAAATTTCGTGCTGGCGTTGTTCAACAGTGTTAGTCTATGTCGCCACCACTACCAGATGCTTTTTTCTTTCAATATACACCTCTCTCCAGGTACTTCATTCATTGGAAAAAGTGACATTCCAATAATTTCATAAGTAGTGTGATTCAGCAAGCGTTCGGCGTTGATCAATACCTTAGAGATGCGTCATGCATTCGACTTCATTCATAACATTTTAAAGGCAACTGAAGGCATATTTTGCAATGGCACGGAGTGGCCTACCGATATGTCAAGGGAGAATTTTTTTAAAAATTTTCCCTGACAAAGCTGGTACAAATTGCGGATCCCAAAGGGATGAAGAGCATCGTTACCTCGTCGAGCGCAATCGAACAAGTAGGCATGTGCCCGTGTTTCATAGACATCTAACCGGTACTGTACCGCTGGCATTATATTATAACGTGCTGTTGACTTCTTGTAGTCGTATTATCATCCTTATTTTACAATTTCTTCTTAAGACTATTTGTGCTTAACTGTATGTAGTGTATTCTAGAACGGGAACGTTTTACATTATAGTCGGTTTCTTGAGGAGGAAAACCGTATCGCATACACTTTCAGGTCGTTTGCACATTATTTCCGAATTGCTTTCTATGTGGATGGGTAAAAACTAAGAGAAACTGTTTTCTATGATAAAAACATGCGAATCGATTTAACGGCTAATCCTCGTCACCGTTATGAGGTTTTCTTTCACAAATATACTTCCTTTTTCGATGGATATATCTGTGGGATACTCATAGAAGAAAGTCTTCAATACTATTTTAGCACCTAGCTTATAATTCAACTAGATGACGATGAGTTCAGTACAAAGGAAATGAACGGTCGTCGAAAACATGACTCTCAACAATTCCATGAATTGGATGACATTCGTTGCGTCCGTCTATCTTTCTTCTCCATCAATCGAAAATGAGCAGTTATTTCCTACCCCCTCTCTTCTGCTGCTCCGAGAACTCTACAATTTGACAAATGGACCACCCAGTCTCATTTCTCATTCAATATCATTGTGCTTTGCACTTACTCTTACCTCATATCCATATAATTTATCATCAAGTATCGAAGGAAAGCCATTCATTTTTAGACTGCCAGGACTTTCAAAGTGGTTTTTGTCTAAAGTTATTGCTTAAGTCCTTAGGCGCTGGTCAGTGTATTTTTGAAATTCAGGATTGCTACAGGTATTTATTGCATAAATAGTTTGAAAAATCCTGAATTTAGAGGTTATTCGAGGATTTTCTTTCTTTGTAAATCATTAAGTGCGGGTGGAAATTCCACGACATTATAAAAGCAGCGCTTTCTCCTCACACAGGGAGTTATCGGGGGCGGTTTGTTCCAGATTTTTCTCCGCGGTCTTCTCTCATTAGCCTCAGAACACCGGCAAACACCTCTCCGAGCCTCCTGTCACTGCCGAATTTATCTTTCTTCTATTCATAATTTTTCTTCACTTCTCTCTCTTGTATCAGTCTAGATTTTTCCTTACTTTTATGACCATCTCCGTCCTGTGATTTTAATGTGAGCATGAGCTTTCCGTGGTTTCTATAACTACCGTAGTTTGTAAGTAATAGCATACTAGATTCTCATTTGGCATCCGACAACATTCTTGTGTTTTGTCTGTACAGAACGATATTTGATAGAAATTTTGAAAGTATGTCGCTAATAAACACTGTTATAGCTTGGCCATTTTGCAAATCTTCTTATGATCACGTAATATTCGTTGTCTTTGATTTCTTTCCTTTCCTTCTTAAGTAGATGTTTTTGTGTAGGACGAGTTGAGTGTATTTCGGAAGTTATTTCTCAAAGACTTTTTTGTTCTTATGACATAGAATTTCTTAGAGCCGTAGGGGTTTGTTACAGGTTAACTGAAGATGTTACAGGTAAATATTTGCTCTTTGAAAAGCGACTTTCGTTAAACGTCAACATGAATAACGAACTATAAGTTTTGTAACAACCTCGTTCAAGCTCTCAGAGTTAATTTTATCCCTTGGATTAAAGCGGTATCGAAATAAGTTCGACCTTTGTGTTTCAATATCCCACAAATTTTCTCAACAATACTGCATATTTACTGCATTCTATTACTTTTCCGTAACAAATATTATATAAGATTGGTTGAGTGGTGGTTTTTCGCCACTTCGGTCCGTGATCTCTCCATATCAATGGTTATTGTGGTAATCGATTTGGTTGGACGAAATTTATTGGGCTGGAAAGAATCTTCTACTGCTTACTCCTTCTCCATGTTCATCTGTTTTCCATTATTATTCTTCAAGTTTTATACTGGCTCAGTAATGATCAACTGTATCATAATGGCTAGGGGTGGATATTCCTCTCATTGTTAAACTCTTATATATCATACAACAGACCTTTACCCACCAGCACCTTCACCCAAGCTGAAATGTAGATCGACATTTTTATCTGGAAGCCCACCCATGGCCGGAAATTGCTGCCGTCCTGGAAGAAACTTAGTCATAAGATCGGCAGCCACCATTCGATCTGCATGTGCCGGCGACAGCTTGTGGAGGTGACAGTGGCGGCCTGTGAGCGGCGTGGTACGGGTTTTATACGCCTGTAGTAGAACACCCTGACTTAACCATTAGGATACCAGTATGGTTTGTTCAAGTACTGTGTGTAAAGTTTTCATGCCTACTTTTTCATTGGTGGGATCTGTTCCGGTTCGTTGTTCACGATTCGATTCGTTTTCATTCCGAGTGATTGCAAACGACTACAGAAGAATCTATTTTTAGATGTGCCGTTGAACGTTGCACATTCTGTGTCTACATATCCTTTATTTGAAGCACTGTATTGGTTTATTTTATATTGGTAATATTATTAGCAACAGACCTGTCGTATATGTCTCTAAGAATGGCATCTGAAAGCTGCGAGAAAGTGAAGGTTGCTGTTCGAGTACGTCCATTTAGTAAACGAGGTACGTTCGTTCCATGATTACACTTCTTTTAGCGAAATTTCGCAAATAGCTTGTGAACGTCCGAAGCAACCCTTGTATTGAGATGAATAGTTCTCTTATGACTACGAGTACTGAGCGTATCGTTATCAAACGAAAATTTAAGCGCCTCCGGAATATCCTTCTGGATCGTTCATACGTTTTTAAAAACGCGTGAAATCTCCAAAGTACATGGTAACTTTCAGTATGACTCAATTTCAAAACCACTTTCAATAATTGTGAGGTTTTCTTTCCATTAAGGACGAACAGGCTGAGAACATTCCCGTTGTTTTGATCCAGAAGTCCAGCGAAGAGTAATCCCACGTCTACTAATTACCATATTTGCGAAAACATTAAAGTTAATCAGCAGTGTGGTGCTTTTCGCGTCCTTTGAGCGAAGGAAGTCCACCACAGGGTAGCTGTGGTGTGTAATGGGGACGAGTTCGCTGGTAACTCCTTGATGTTTACCGGGATCGCAGTCTGTAAGGTTGACAGACTGAACCATCTGAAAGAAGTTTGCATGCTTATTCGATTAAAGAGAAAAAGCAATTTCTCTACATATAAAAGCTTGAATGGATAAGTGTCCTACACTGATCCAACCCTTATGAATGCTCTTTAAATTAGAGCCCAATAAACGTCGCAGTTGTGTTTTAATGCATATTTGGTCTTTTACATGACTTTCAGGATTTTCTGATGTTTCATTTCAGTGTTTTTATCCCTTCAGACATGTCTGCTCCGATTTACCCAACCCGGAGGGATGATAAGCGTAGTCAATCAATCTAGGGTACTTTATCGAACAAACATTTAACTTGGCGCTTTCAACCACTTCGATGCATACTCTACTACGTACTTGATACTTGATACTTGAACGGCCCGTCCTCACTGGTTGTGCGGGCTCCAGCATAATCACTATTTTTCGGAGACTTGCTGGTTAAGCCATTGTGGTTCCCTGGAATTCCGAGGTCAGCCTGGGCAAAGTCTGCCCCAGGTCTTCATCATCACAGACAGTCGCAGCCCTTGTGGGTCAGAGGGAGATTCGCAACCATGCGACTTTGATACCAGGACGGTGGCGGATGCTGGTATTGGTTTACTCTTAGCTAGGCATCCTGATGAAAACGTCGAACTCCTTCTCAGCTTGGGAGACCCTGCCGGGGGGACGAATCTCCCCGCTGTGCATCGCAATCCGACACCCAGGAACACCTCACAGCCACGATAAGTAAACCGTTGGGAGACTACTACGTACTTATTTTAACTTGTTAACAAAAAAGCATAGCTTATCTAGAGAGGATGAATATTTGTGTTTGATATTACTTTTGCCTACAAATTTGCTCTCGACCGCTATAAATGTTCCATAATGGCTTAGAAAAGCGGTTAGGATAAAACGTGACAAAAGTAACAGAGCTTAAGATGACAGCTGATGTCGGAAAGAACACTGAATGCAGACTATTGATCCTTAGGGACGTGAACGTCGGCCAATCTAGTGAAAGTGGCTCTTTTGATATAACGAATTAGTCGAATTGTACGCCTAAGTGCTCAGTCCTCATAATGAGATGAGAAGATGGCTCCAAAAATGAATTGTAGGCTTATGGACTGGCTTTTTCCTTCATCGATAAGCTATTATTCCTTTCTTTTTTCTTAGAATTGGATCTGAATACGAAAGGTGTTGTACGAATGTGCGATGGCCAGACGATACTGGATCACATTTCCGATGAGTGAGTTACTTCTTTCGTCATCGTATTTCATCAAGTATTTTCGTTCTATCGTCCAGATTTCAGTAAACAGCCGAAGACGTTTGCTTTTGACCATTCATTCTGTTCTACAGACGTAAATGATTCGAATTTTGCAAGTAAGTCGTTAGAATAGTTATCAGGAAAGTTATAAAACAGTTTTTAAGCACAGTGGGTACATTCCGCATTGTTTGGGCACTTAGCAAATCTTGTGATAGATTTCTGTGATAGCTGCATTGCGTCATAAAAGCTCGGCGTTGATCAATCCCTGAAGAATGCGCCATGCATTCGACTTCATTAAGCATCGTTTGGAGGTGATTGAATGCATATCTGGCTTTTACAATGACTCGAGGTGGCCTACCGTTGTATCGAGCTAGTGCTGCTATCCTCTCAGACAATTCTGGTGCCAATTTGCCGACCCCAGAGGAATTGAGAGCTTGGTGAGCCACAGGCGCCCGGATCGATCCCATGTGTGCGTCGCAAGGTGCCTCCAACCACTGCGCCACACGCTCCCCACCATTGCGTAGTAATTCGGCGAATAGTGTTTTCAAAAGCATTGAAATATAGCATTGGAATATTCTTATGTTTATTTGCAAAACAAGAATCTATAGACTAGTGATCTGGTGTTAGTAAAGTCCTACTTCATACTTATTTAGGTCAAGAAACGGTATTTAACAGCCTTGGATCAGGTGTTATTGAAAATGCATTTTCTGGCTACAACGCCTGTATTTTCGCATATGGTCAAACAGGTGCGTTGAAGTTTAGCATGTAATGCATTCTGTCATAGTTTATACGATGCCCATGGAGTTATCATCGACCATGTCCGCAATCGCGTATCGCCGAAGGAAGGCAGTCCCGTAACGAAATCGTATTTTCTAAGCTGCATAATGTGCGCCGAATTGAATTTATTACAATGCGTAGCACTTTCAGGAATTTTGTGACGGTACAAAGTTTGAGGGGATGTTTTAAGTTGCTAGGATGAAGTGTAGAGATAGTTTTGCTTACTTCACTAGAATTAAAATGATAGAGAAGTAGATTTGTCGTTCATTTCATTAAGGTTCGGGCAAGTCATATTCTATGATGGGTACTTCTCAGCAACCTGGAATCATACCGCGTTTGTGCAATGAGGTGAAGTATTTCTGCATAAGACTTACATATATTGTTTGTTTTGAGAAAGCCTGGCAGGAAAGTTACTATGTAATTTTCCAACTTGATACTTACTTGATACTTGAGCGGCCCGTTCTCACTGGCTGTGCTGATCACAGCACAATCACCATTTTACGGAGATTTGCTGATTAAGCCATTGTAGTTCGCTGGAATCTCGAACTCGGCCTGGCCGAAGTCTGCTCCAAGTCTTCACCACCATAGGCTGTCGAAGCCTTTGTGGATCAGAGGGAGATTTGTCACTATGCGACTTTGATACCAGGGTGGTGGTGGATCCTGGTATTGTTTTACTCTTAGCTAAGCTTCGTGATGAAAATGCCGAACTACTCAGCTTGGGAGATCCAACCAGGGGGACGAATCCCACCGCTGTACATCGCGGTCCAACACCCAGGAGCACGTTCCAGCAACGATGAGGCTGTATACCGTTCGGAGGAGTTTTCCAAGTATTGAATTAAATTAGAAAGAGCAATCACATCCGTAATTTCCGTACTTTATGGGACGAAAATTATTTTTGTTGTTTGTTTTATGTTAACTTTGTCCATATCGTAATATGTTCGAGTAGCTCTTTTTCCCACGCAAAGATCTGCTTATGTAGGAACAAGTGTCGTAAACGAAACTTGTAAACGAGTTTAAACACTCCGCAGTCTTATCTTCGTATCTAAACAATCCATTTTTCTTATTTCAGGTGTTTAGAAGGATCAAGGAGACTACATGTGATATCCTCGAGTATAAAGTGGAAGTCTCTTATATGGAGATATACAACGAACGTGTTCGTGACCTTCTTGATCCGAAAAAGTAAGTCGGAAAAGTGACGCCATCGAGATTTCTCATCATAGTGCTAATCTTTGCAAATATAATGAATGTTGAAAAAAGAAACGATTCATTCGATAGGTCCAATAAACACCATTTGAAAGTGAGAGAGCATAAGATTCTTGGTCCACTCGTCGATGGATTGTCTGTGTTGGCTGTGAATTCCTTTGAGGTCGATTTCTGGTAGAGAGTTTTGGAAACGTGGTTTTTTTTGTTGTTGTTTTAAATGTAGGATTGATTTTAGCAAATTGCATCTCTGATCGAAGAAGGAAACAAGTCAAGAACGGTTGCCGCAACCAATATGAACGCCGAAAGTTCACGTTCTCATGCTGTATTCAACATCACACTCACACAGATCTTGAAAGATGTCAAAAAAGATGTATACCTATACTGGTATATTTAAGTATTTCTTACTGGTAGTTTTAGCTCGCATAACTTTAGTTTACTGGAGAAAAAGTTGCGAAGATTTCCTTGGTTGATTTGGCTGGTAGTGAACGAGTTGGCAAGACCAGAGCAATGGGTAAACGTCTCGAAGAAGGTGGTAACATCAACAAGTATGTTCCTGTGTTAATTATTTTTTGATCAGATACTGATTTAGGAATCAAAACTGATTTCTAGGTCACTTACTACACTCGGTATGGTTATTTCCGCTCTTGCTGAACGCTCGAATGGAAAGAAGGAGAAATTCATACCGTACCGAGACTCAGTACTCACTTGGTTGGTTAATATGAAAGAACCGTTGAAGCACCACGTTTTTATTACTTCCATTAAAGCTAAAAAACTTTCGGCATTGATCAATCCCTGAGGGTGCGCTATGCATTCGACTTCATCAACCATCGTTTGGAGGTGATTGAATGCCATATCTAGTCTTTACAATGTGACTCGCAGTGGCCTACCAATGTATCAAGCCAGTGCTGTTATCCTCCCAGACAAGTCTAGTACCAATCTGCTGACCTCGGAGAGATGGAAAGCTTGGTGGACCATGGGGGAGGGGATCGATTCCACGTGTATATTGCAGGGCGCCTCCGACCACTGCGCCACACCCGCCCTTATTAGTTCCTTTATCAATGTGAAATCTATGCGAAGATATGTCTGAGATGATTTTATTAACCTGTGAAGAAATCTATTTATTAAGAATGGAAAAGTTCCGTAATATTGAAAATGTTTTGTAACCATTTTCTCTTTTTCCGCTTACTGAGCGGAACAGTTTCATTGCGACAAAAGTTCTTCTATTTCGGAATTTGTTGTTACATTAGTGGTAGTTCTTCTGTTTTAGGAACTTTTGGCCCCACTTGCATCAATGGGGTAGAACGACTAAGACATGACATAGCTGTTTAGGTGCAATATTTCCAAGTGTTAGCCATTTTACAGGCTGCTGAAAGACAGTTTGGGTGGTAATTCTCGCACGGTAATGATTGCGACGATATCGCCAGCAGCTGATAACTACGAGGAGACGTTGTCCACGTTACGTTACGCCGATCGTGCGAAGCGAATAGTCAATCATGCCATCGTGAACGAGGTGGACATCATATCGTTATTCTTTTTCTGTACCGATAATCTCTTAGATCTCTTTCTGATAGTCGAATGCAAACGATGGGGTTTGCTGAGAGAATGGGCTTTCCAAAGCTCGTGATCACTTGAAATCACACGCTTTTTTCTGATGTCTGTCTTTTTTGGAAATACTAGAACAAGTGGATTTGTCTCAAATAGAGATTTGAAGCAGATTATTTCCTCCGGCATGGAATACATAGACATGCAATGACTTTATTTTTATAATTGTAGGATCCGAACGCACGCGTAATTCGTGAACTACGAGAAGAGGTCGAGACGTTACGTATGCAGATCAGCCAAACGTTGAAGGAACACACGGTATCCATTCATTATTTGTGCAGGAACCACTTTCTTTGTCATATACATGTACGAGTCAGGAAACTGTTGAGCTACGTGAACGACTTGCCGAAAGCGAACGATTGGTAGCTCAAATGAACAAGTCGTGGGAAGAACGTCTCAAGGAAACAGATAGTGTAAATAAAGTAAGTATTAAAGCAACATGAACGAGAATTCATGATAATTTTGAATTCGACGTTCACTAATATTGAGGCTAAGCTTAATTCTTACCTTTATGCTACATGGGAGCCTCTGCATCTTTTCTGGAATCTTATGCTTATATCTATAACATAAACTAATAAACTGTTCAAGCCTAGCTCGGCAGTTCTATAATGTTAAAAAGGCGTCTCGGTAGGAGTCAGAAAGAATTGTTACCATATGCCATATTACGGGACCATTTTATCCATTGAATATCTACATACGATAATAATATCCCTTCAGTTGTTTGCTGATTTCCCTTATTACTATTTTCTCGTTTGTCTCTTTTTTTGTGTTCTATATCGATTTCTAAATTCAGGAGCGTCAACGAGACTTGGCCGAAATTGGTATTTCCGTTGAATCAAGTGGCATAAAAGTTGAAAAAGATCGCTTCTATTTAGTTAATCTTAACGCAGATCCATCGCTTAATGAACTACTGGTCTACTACATTAATGTGGGTTGAGATTAAAACTTTCACAACTGTCGAGCCAGTAACTTTGTGAACTTCTCTTTGGTTCGATCCATTCCGCACCCAACATTCCCTTTCCAGTCATCAGCCGTAATAGGAAATCTCGATGAAATAGAGAGTAGTCTCGATTCTGGTCTTGGAAACTCCGATGAGGATCTTGCTAAAAAAGACGGTTAGTTATTCTAAACAAAGTGGGAGTGGTTACAAGTGGAGCGGACGTCTACTTCGCGGAATTAAAAAGTAGTCTGTGCAAGTGTAAATAGAGTCAAAACTAAGAAGATTATTGAGGCACATGGCTATTAATTCTGTTAAAGATCGTATTTCCTACAGCAGTATGTGAACGCACAAGTATCGTACTACGTGGTTTGGGTGTAATGCGACGTCATGCCCGGCTGAGTGTTGTTGAGGACGGAGTTAAGTCGAGGCTGTATATTGAACCGTTGTCCAGTGATGGCAGGTGAGAGGAGGAAAGGACATTCAACCTTATCCAGGAGTGATTGCTTTAGAAGCTTCAAACATGACTCAACGGAATTCTTTCCAGGAAGTTGTGCTGTAGGTACTTACTAACGCTGTTTATAGGTTATGTGTTAACGGAAGGGAAATCAAAGAAAAAACCCTGCTGAGACATGGGAATCGTTTACTGATTGGTATGAACCACTTCTTCCGAGTGAACTGTCCGAAGGTTTGAATATGTCTTAACTTCTTTTCTAAATAGAATTCTTAACCATGAAAAAATAGGAATTTTTTTGCGAAGCAATAAAACTAGAACCAAAGTGCAGACAAAACAACTGTAAGAATTGCTTAACATGATTTAATCATTTCAACTACGTTGTAATATGAGATTTTTGGGGTGCGTGTGGCACAGTGATCGGAGGTGTCCTACAATACACATGAGATCGATTCCCACGCCCCTAGCCCAGCAAATCTTCCATTCCTCTGAGGTCAGCAAATTGGTACCAGACTTGTTTGGGAGGATAGCAGTACTGGCTCGTTGCAGCGGTAGACCACCACGAGTCATTATAGAGGCCAGATATGCATTCAATTACCTCCGAACAGTGCTTAATGAATTCGAATGCATGGCGCATTCGTCAGGGTTTGATCAAGGCTGAGAGCTTCAGTTTTTATAGGGTATTTGAATATTCTTCTACTACAATATGAACTTAGGGCTAAATCCTTGCAACTGTTTGTGTTTGAATAAATTTTTTATTCCTGTTTCCAATGAATATTATCGATAAATCATCTAGTTGGCGCAAGGCGGCGGACTAAGAAATCATGTCGTCTCAGCTGGGCACTTATTTATAAGTTCCGTTGCCCAACTGTGAATTACTAGAAAACGAAACAAAAATTTGTAATTCCCATCGGTTTTTTATTCGAGAGAAGTGGTAACGCGCGTAGAGAGTGGAAAGATGCAAAGTTTCAATCGAGGGGGCCCAAATATATTACCTTACAATTTGTGAAAGAAAATTTCGTGACGTTTTGGTAGAAATCATAAGAAGCTCGTTCTTATACAGTAGAAAACTCGTTATGGATGGCAGTTACAGTTTTTAAATAGATGGGTATATTTTTGTCTTTTTTCAACTGGAAGGATTTCTATGATTTTCGACAATATTTCTCTTTGGTTTTTTCTTAGACATTTTCCTTAAACAGCATGTAAGCGTCTGCGTGAATTGGGTGCAATGCACTCACCGTAAACTTTTCTGGCGCTCTCACCTTTGAGTCATCTTATCTCATGTTTATTAATTGAATTGAAAGTCAATAGAATCTCCATATCCTCGCCCATGAGTACGCTTTATGCTATTGCACTATAATAGAACTGCGATTCTCTAGAGCCCATGAAGCGTATTTTTTCCGTTCTCCCTTCAGTGTTGGCATTTCTTATAGAGCAAGGTCTCTTCTATAGTTGCTAGGATTGACTCCTTAGCATTAAATAACGATTTCCTACTTTCTTGACACGCCCACACGACGTTGTTATTATACGCTATTCATTCACAACAGCTAAGGTTTCTGTGGATTTCGCCTTCTTCAAAGTGGTTTTCTATAAGTTTTCCACTTAATATTCCACGTGGAAACCAGCCGTACAGATCTCACATGGGTGGGCCGTACTGTCTTCTTTAATTATGTAAGACTGAAGCTCTTCAACTACTCAAATAGTCGGAAAATTCCCGTCAGTTGACGAAAAACCATCACGAGATATTTTGTGCTGAGTGCCTTCATTTACGGACTGCCCAGTGATCTGTTGAAAATACTGGCAAATATTGGCAGGATTCCACCACTTGAGCTTTCGAATAAGCCTATTTGAGTCTCGACAAATAGCGAATAACTCGTCAAGCCTGAAATAAAGACAATATGAAGAGATCATTGCATCGAATTGGACAATATTAACCATTCTGAGATCTTGATGGAAGTCCACTATTGTTTTTCGTTTTGTTCGCTTATTTTCAGTAAATTTATATTTATTGATCATATTATTTATATTACCAGTTAGCTGGTTTCCAGAAACAAAAGCGGCTGAAGAGCTGAACAACTAATAATTTTTTCTTAAGGAATAGGATAATAGGAGAGAGAAGAGCTGCGTATTTACCTATTTATTATTTGTGATATCCAATGAACTCCATCTCTCGCGACGACGGCTAATCTCGGGCTTGTTGCGGACTGGATGACGCCTAATTCCTAGTTTTTATGGACTTGCTAGTTTTTGAGGATAAACAATAGTTTTTTAGTAACTAGAGAACTTCGTGGGTTGCAAATGCTCCACCATTCTATGGCTATGAAAAACACATTACTATCAGCATTTGGAAGTGTCTCGCGACGAATAAGTTTCCATTTTAATATTTTTTATACCCGCAAGCTTAGTACTTCTCGCATTCACTATAGCAATTAGAATTGAAATATTAGTCGATTACCACCCAAATTTCTGGGTTATTGAATTCGTTCGAAGACGGTTTTTTTTAACATATTTTTAAGTGCAGAATTTTTTCCGACCAACCCTTAGCACGACATCTGTATTTTATAGGCTATTAAACGATAACTAAAAGTGTAGGAAAATAGCTTTACCTGTTAAAACAAACCGAAAAGAAAATAACACCACAGGTCTCTTACCGGTGCTCCCGCGGAACCATTATGACACCTGTAGGTGCACTCATTGCGAAAATATTAAGGAGATAGACATAAGATTTCCCGAAAATCAGATCTCCTAAGTATCGATCACATATATCCATATCACATATAGTATCATATACATATATATAGTTTATTTTCTTTTCTTTTCGTGCTCTTAAAACCACATTTTAGGTTATTGTTAGGTAATTTCCTCTTTTTAACACTCCCGAGACGAATGACACCTGTAGGTATCATAAAGGCTTTGCGAGAGTGGCCCCGGTAAGACATCTATCTGTAGGTGTCATTTCTCTTCCCGTGATTTCGGTGTCAACGGTTTACCGCCTCATCGTGGCTGAGAGGTGTTCCTGGGTGTCAGACTGTGATGTTCAGCGGGGAGATTCGTCTCCCGGCAGGGTCTCCCAAGTTGAGAAAGAGTCCGATGTTTTCATCAGGAAGCCTAGCTCAGAGTGAACCAATGCTAAGATCCTCCACCGTCTTGATATCAAAGTCGCATGGTGGCAAATCTCCCTTTGATCCACAAAGGCTGCGAATGCCTGTGGTGGTAAAGATCTGGGGCAGATTTTGACCAGGCTGACCTCAAGATTCCAGGGAGCCAAAATGGCTTAACGAGCAAATCTCTGAAGAATGGTGATTATGCTGGGGTCGGCACAACCAGTGAGGACGGGCTATTCAAGTATCAAGTAAGTTAAGTAGGATTTCGGTGCATAGAGGTTTTTTTTTTTCCTATACTTCTCGTAATCAATCGGTAGCTTATCCAGTGGAGATGCTGCGGTGGGCGACGTCCATGGGAGGATTTCCAATCAATAATCTCTCACCCAGTTTTTCACAAAAAGCCTCGTTTTGGTCGAGTTCATTTTTTAGGAGAGGGACTGTTGTTGTTGAAGAGTGTGCTTGGCATAGGAAGTGTGACCAGTGATAAGGTGTAGAAATGGCTCTGCCTAGAGGTACTGTTAACGCATACAATGTCCAGCATTATTTTTGAGACGCGTATCGTCGTTTTCTACTTTTCAATCACTATGATGACTTTTGGGTATTGTTTGGAACGAGAGGATATCAAAACTAAGAAATAAGCGACGTAAAATACCTTGTTTGATTTATAGAACTTCATTAAATGCTGACAGCAGTATGATTGCAATAATGGACAAACGTTCTTCTTCATCCAAAAGAGATATATATGCGCGAAAAATATGGAAGGGTGTGCAAAAACATGGAGCATATATAGGGTAAGGATAACGCCCTCGGCGTTGATCAATCCCTGAGGGTTGCGCCATGCATTCGGCTTCATTGAGCATCGTTTGGAGGTAATCGAATGCATATCTGGCCTTTACAATGACTCGAGGTGGTCTACCGATGTATCGAGCCAGTGCTGCTACCCTCCCAAACAGGTTTGGTACCAATTTGCCGACTCTAGAGAGATGGAAGGCTTGCTAGGCCATAGGCGCCGGGATTGGTTCCACGTGTGTGTTGCGCCTCCGACCACTGCACCACATGCGTTCTTATATATCGGATGAGAGCAGCGCATAAATCTCTCCAAAACCTTGAGAAAAATGGATTTATGAGATGAAAATTACAACAAAAGAGACAAGGCTCCATAAAAACTGCTGGAATAACCGGTATGACACCTACAGGTGAGCGCAGCGAGAAATTAGACCCCGTCCACTTCGCAAAAGCGCAAAATTAGGCGTCATCGCAGTGTTAATTGTCAAATAAACGCTGTGATGGTAATAATTTCTCTGGATGCAAGTGCATCTTTTCGTGGGAAATAATATTATTCTGATTCTCAGAAGTCTTAATTTTTTTTTGTTTTAAATGACCCGTCTTCACGTCTACTGTGCTACTCCCAACACTTCTTGCATTCGAGTCGTATTTGCACTCATCGTCCAACTGGTTCTTTGAACATTTTGCCTGTAGTTTCGGCTGCTTGAGAATTTCGTATTCTGTTTAAATGTCGTAGAATTGTTGTTTTTTTAAAATCTTGTGGGTAGCCGGGCTAAAGCGATTCTACCTGGATTGAGTGAAATCGCGGGCGGAAAATCGAGCCTTAACCGTGCGTGCTGGTAAACTGCATCACTAACCATTGCGTTGTGCATTAAGCCATTCTGTCCATGCGCCGTAGAGGTTTTAAATGTCATGCATTACATTAATGATGTGGAACAACTTTGATGCGATATTTTCTATAGCTTTGCCTAATAGGATTCTATTTGAAGTTGCTACATTTGTGTTGGACATTATTGTTGTTATGGAGATCATTCTCACTTCCAATTTTCACCAAATCAGACTTCTATAGGTTTATTTTTCCTTTGTAATGTTCTGACAATAGCGGTTCAATTTTTGGAAACGATGATGACGTACGCATTTAAAGGTTTTCTTTTTTCCAAAATTGAGAGGTTGGACTTCCTATTTTCAGGATGTCGACTTGAATCAATCGGTTATGGACGAAAGCGTTCTGTTCGACTACAATGATGCTTGGCATGAGGTAATCTCATTTTGCTCTCTCAACAGATGGCATTTTTTCGTCCTCTCTCTTTCTCCCTGCTTCTCTCTCCATCTCCCTGTCCTTGTCCCTCTACGTATCTGTCTCTCACTATGCCGGCAACTTAAAACTTTCTTTTTTTCCGCCTTTCTCTTCTCTATCTCTTTCCCTATCTCTTTCTACTTACGAATCTATCTCTCGCTGTATCGACAAGGCACACTATTTCTTGATGTTGTTCTAACATAACAGAAGTGTTCATAGTTGTCATAGAATCTCCAATCGTGCTAGGAATCTCATTCTTTTATATGACTTACTTTGTAACATGGCTGAAGTATATTAGGCAAACGGAGATAGTGGATTTAATCCAGTGTCAACAGCAGTGGATCAGTATATGGAACAGCTAACACTGAAGCATCAGGCATGTCAAAAATAATGCAGATGTATTTACTTTCATTTTAAAGAATGTTTTATTATGAGGAGGATCAGTTTTTTTCTTTTGCCTTCAGGAAGACAAACAAGCAGCACTCGAACGTCAATATGAAGCTTTCGAACGTTATATACAAAATTTAACATCTGGCGGGTTAGTGTTTATTTTGCAAGAAGTTGTTTGGAGAGTTTTGGTGGATTTCGCTACACATTCTGCATTCAGAAGTGGTTGGTAGATTCAACACTTTCGAGCTGATTTTTCACGTTTGAAATCTGCATATTTTGAGTACAAACTTATTTTTCTTACCATGTCATGAAAACATTGCCTTAGTGCAAAATCCATCAGAACTTTCTGAATTATTTATCAATGCTCAACTTCAGAGAAGTGAATGAAATTTAGATGTAATAAAGTTGAAAATTTGTGGGGTTTCTTCTTCTTTATTCGGACAGCTGTTGGAATCTTTACTTCAGTTTCACACCCTTAACTCCGATGACTCCTGGTTATGGTTTTGGAACGCCATTGGGCACTCCTGGATCAGCATTTCCACCATTTCCATTTCCGGCGAATCCGAAGCAAACAGTCCGCAACAAGTTCTTCAACTGGGCGCAACGCAAGTAAACTTTACTCATTATCTCTGATTGTTCTTGACCCGTGTAGACCATTTTTTTTCCAGAGAGGAAATGTTTGCTGAGTCGTTAAAGCGTCTTAAAATTGATGTGATTCGAGCAAATGCATTAACTCGTGAAGCCAACATGATTAGTCGAGAACTTGGTAATACACGATGTCAAACCACTTACGATGTGACACTCCAGATACCAGCAGCTAACCTTCGACCTAGCAAGATTAAGGTCGAGTTTGTTTTGTCGGATTTTTCTTGAAATTTCTATGTTTTTAGAGGGCCGTTGATTGTATTAGGAGCAGTAGTATGTTCGGAAACTATTTGAACGTAAAATGTGAAGAATTTTGTATTGAGCATCAGATAGAAAGTGAATCAATTTAATAGAACGTGTAGTTGCGGTGCTTTTCAAGGAAAAAAGCGTACTGCTAGTTTGCAGGATGGCAATTTTGTTTGTGAGCCAGTGATAGTGGTCCGTCGATCTGGAATGAGTGGTAGTCAGTTGTGGACAGTGGCGCAGCTGGAGAATAAGTTAATCGACATGAGGGAGATGTACAATGACAAGCTGAATGGCGTTTCAAGGTACTATATTTAAATTTGTTCAAAGGTAACCATCAAGGTAGGGGAAACGAAAACTATAGGGGAAACGAGTAACTTCGAATTTCAGAAATGTTGCGTTCGCACTTAGCCTATTTGTCCGGTGTTTTCACAAAATACCACAACATAGCTTTAACAAAATTTGGTGCTATATTATCGTTTTTTCTGTGATGACTATTTACGAAAATATGGAACAACTTGTAATTTAAGGCTTTTCACCGTAGAATCAGTTTGTTGGTTTTCATCAGTGCATATGAATTTTGAATCTTTTATTACCTATTTTTTCTAATTTTCGGTATCAAGACAATGAATGTACTGCTTTACATTTCAGGAGTCTCTGAACAAGATGAAATCATTATTTGTGAAAGGTTATAGAATATTTCAGGGAGCGATCTTGTACATCTAGTCCAGAATGTTCACCGTCTCGTTCGTTTTCTCAACCAGCAGCACTTGATGAAGTTATGATCGATCCGTTCTTTGAGAGTCAGGTTCGTATGTCCTGATCTCTACAAATACTTGACGTCTTAGAAAAAAAAAAGAACCAAATCCATCTTTAAGTTTTTCTGTTCCTTGATGTCTTTCACTGTTTATGTCCGTACAAGTCTGCCCTTTCAGGAACATCATAGCCTTATCGGCGTTGCTAATGTTTTTCTTGAGGTACTATTTCATGACATGGAACTGGATTACCAAGTAAGTTTTCAATTTTTTTTTTTTTTTAGAAGTCTTAATTGTTCATTAGCGTACAAAAGTATCGGGGAAGTTACGGACGATTCATTAAATGGCTACATTTTTCATTAAAATTGACTTTAAAGGTTAATAAAGTGGCTTATTTTCTTCGTATTTTTGTTGAGCAAACGCGAGGTGTTACTATTCTTTGTTCACGATTAAGCTGACGTTTCGGCGGATTTCGCCTTCTTCATCAGAGCCTGGAAAGGTCAAGTTGATAGCAACTCACTCGGCCAGACGCCTCCATAACCAAACAAAGAAACCCCAAACCAAGATTTCAATCACTTTGAACACAGGTTTGCACACTCACCGCTTTCTAT